GTAATTTTTTTAATTAAAGATTATCATCTAAAAATAACCTCTAATTAAATAAAATTGTTTTTTAGCCAGTACTTTTTTTAAAATTAATTGTTAAAGTTGCGTTCCGAGCTCATCACGAAGATTTTCTGAACTTAACCGAAGTGGTTGTTTCATGCATTTCATCATGGGAGAGCGCTGATTTCTATGCAGGTGCTTTGGAGTGGTTTCGAATGGACTAAAAATAGAAGAAAATAATTTGTTATTAAATTTTTTGATCCATCCGGAACCACCCTAACGCACCTGCACAAAAACACGAGCATCGCTCTTCGCGATGGGCTCGGAACGCAACTTTAGCAATTTATTAAAAAAAAGTACTGACTAAAAAACAATTCTGTTTAATTAGAGGTCATTTTTAGATCATAATCTTTTATTAAAAAAATTACCATGGCGCGTTGCCATTAAAAAAAAAATTCCAGAACTCGAAAACTAAAAGAAATTTCGAAAAATGTTAGTCTTGATAAATGGTCACATTTTAATTGTACTTCACGCTACACTAATTATTTTTTTCGTAAAGTGCTTAGTTTACGAAAAAAACGCTTAGTTCCATACTTTTTATTCACCTGGTATATAGACAGAAGCATTAGAGTTGGGGTTTTTAGTTGTTTTAATGAGGAAATTTAAGTCTTTGTTATTTGATTTTGCATTAATTCCTTCTCAAAATACTTCCGTTAGTACTTCTAAGTAATGGTAATAGTTTTCAATAATAATATTCTAGAAATATCCAACATCGGCATTTACCCACCTCTAATCCATTATAGCCCTTGGTCCATAATGAAAATGATTATTGACTACTAGGAAAGAAAATTAACTTCACAACCTCTCGATAAACTAAATAATGGTATCTTTTACAGCTAGTGGTAAAAAAAAACATTATTATTAACATAATCCCAACAAATTCTTTCATATTAAAATTAAACGTACAACCACCACAATTACTAATTGTAATTCCGCTGGCATCTTTAGCAGTAGAGCTAACAGAAACTGTTGCTGAATTAAATGCTAAACAATTATTTGAAAGAAAATTTAATGTGTCTTCTTTAGTTTTTGAATTATTGGAAAAAAAACGGAAATTTGTAATTTTCCTTTTTATTTTTTCAAGCGAAAACTAGACCTAGACGTTTTTAACTAGAACGTTCTTAAAGCACTTTTTTACAAGGAATTTAAATCTGTCATCGTATTTCCAAAGCGTTTTTGATGTCAGAGTTATTTTGGATTTTCTTATGGACGTCATATTCGATATCTGTATTTTTGAAAAGTCTTTTTGTTCCTGATTACAACGATGTATCACACGATATAATCACATGCTGATAATAATTAAGAAAAAGCGTTTTTGCGAAGAGTGTTTTGGAGAAAACGCTAACAATTTTGTTTAACACACTAAATTTTCAAGTTGAAAGAGAAAAGTCACTTCATAGTTTTGACAATGTCATCATTTGATTAGCTTTTGCTTTATTTAGTTTTTATCAAAGTTCTTCTATTTATTGTCTTCCGACGAAATGGTTTCCAGTAGGTTTGATTTCTTTTTCTTAATTTTTTTCCAAATTTATGATCATAAAATATTAAAATAATAAATTAGTTTTCGTGATTATCATTTACGGTGAAACACAAGTAACGATACTAATGGCCATTGTTGCAGCCAAAGCAGCAGTTCTTAAACAAATAATATAAAATAAGTTATTTTCTTTCACAACGTAAATTTTGGTTTATACAGAGTGTCCCAGGAGTTCAAAAAGTTCATTAGTGACTATTAAATGGTATAATTCAAAAAAAAACTATATAGGCTGTCTCAGGCAGGTTTGGATATAGGAAATTAACATGGGAAATTAGATTTTATTTTTTTCCGGCTGCATGAGTAACACAAATTAAAATCTAAATATTATAGATAGATTTTTTCGAACATTTTTTCAATGTTAATCAACTATTTTTTATTTACAATTTATTCAAACAGAGATAAAGGTAGATTAGTACTCATGTCTACTTAACAAACATTAATGATCTCGCACAAGCGAAAGAGAAGTGCTCTTCTTCGTTGGCAAGCTTACGTAATTATTATTTCATGTAGGAGTCGGCGTGACTAAACTCGAGTCATCCTGTCCCAGACCTCTAGAGATGTTTAAGAGTCATTGAAATAAAGTTGTCCCCTTGACCATTGCTTGGGCTTATATTTATGTTCTGTATAGTTAGTTTTTAAATTATTAGAATGTTACGATAAATTAGGTAAGCAAAATTTTCAAAATATGGTAGTTTGTTTGAAAACAAGCCAATTACATCATTCCTGTTAAATGCAATAACATTTAATATTGTAGGTTGGGGTGTAAAGTAGATAAAAATTACACGTTTAAAAAACCCACTTACTTTTGAATGACTGAGTTAGGCATTATTATGAAATATTAAAAAAAAATCTGTTATAACTGTGCAGTTTCGCGCACACAGAGCTGTAAAATAACAAGAAAATTTTAGGCTTTCAGAGATTCCGAAAAATAGCTATTTATGAAATAAGTTGCGAAATGAAAGTCTTTTAAGCACGCGAGGTGAAATTGACCAACGAGGCGAATACTGTGTTGGTCAACACGTGAAGTACTTAAACACTTCTTTGCTTGTAACGTGTTTCATACATGATTTTTTTTCTACAATCACCAAAAAATTTTATAATAATTGGAAAATGTGACATTGTGATTTTTTTTGACATTGTCAAATTGACAGAATTGCAAAGTTGGCAAGTAAAACAAAATAGATCTTATTGCCAAGTTGTTGTTTACAAACAATAATTTTTCGAAAAAATATCGGAAAGTTTGTTCATATAATTTGGAAAAATGAGTGATTCCGATGTGATTTCTGATATCTAAAATGCAGCAGAAGCCTCTATGAATACTTTTATAACAGAGAGAGCAAAATCTGTGTATCAAGCAACTTACAACAAATTTGAAATTTGGTGCAAGGAGAAAAAAGTGGTTACTATCACGAAAAAGTAGTTTTGGCCTACTTTTATCAAGCTTCGAAGATTTGGAAGACGCAGCTTCGTGTTTGAAAATTTCGGGGAGATCCGAGTAGATTCCTGTTTACCTGAGTTAATAAGGGTCACAAAAATTGAGATGTCCGAGAAGAGTCCCGGGCAGGGTTGATCAGCAGGCATAGGCAAATATGTTAATGAAAAACATACAACCAAGAGACGGCGCCACTTGCTTTTATTTACAGATTTCTGTAAATTATCACAAACAGTAGTAAACAGAAACTACTAGTGCCATCTCTTGGTTGTATGTTTTGTTTTTACTTAAAAAAATACAGAATATAAAGCAATCTTTGGATATTTGGCGCAAAATATCAAAAAACACTTTTCTATCAACTATCACTAGTATTGTTCAAATAATTTCCCAGTTTCGAGTTCGAATTATTTGTTACATACTTTGTTCGTGGTATGCTCTTTTCATTGTGTGTTTAAATTTTGTTAAGTTTCGTTTTTTAGTATCTACTTTTAAGGTAGAATTATTCAAGTTTCAAGTTTTCAAGTTTTGAAGTAGGTAACACTCTCCTAAAAGATATCCAGCAGCAATGCTCCTCAAGAGAATCTTGAAACTACTGGGTAAAAGTCCAGAAATTTGGGGACATCTGAACTGCCGTCAAAATTTGAACAGGTAAAAACATAATTAGAAAGGAAAATTTTCGCTTTTGAACTGTGGTCTGTTTCTAGAACTAGGGGGGATTTTAAGCTCTTTTACAGCTAATGTCATCACACTTGGACGATATCACAAAGGCTTTGCAATGTAGGGTTAGACTCTGAGAAATTTTTATTGATTGATTCTAAAAACACGGTTGTAGAATGAGAAAAGAATGATTTTTTAGATAACAAATAAATTTTGACTGAACGTCTCTCTAATAATGTGTCCTCCGCTGTGATTTTGACCGCAGTTCAAACAGAGATTTTGTCAGTCCGGACAGGCTAAAACACTTTGTACCGTAATTTGGTGGTATGTACCGAGAAATTTTTGCTCAACATTTGGGGGAATTGATAATGAGACAATAATCAATAATCTTATTCCAAAATAAAGTATAAGAAGTTCAAACAAAAAATTTACACGATAAAGTCTTCGCAACAGTTTTTTGGGCTAAAGAAGGACTTTTGCTATTAAGGTTTATACTACCTGAGACGATGATATCAAAAGGAAACTATGCAAAATATTCTAAAGTTTTGTGTGATTCTATAAACTTGAAAAGGTATGAAATCCACACGTCAGATGTACTGTTCTTTCACAAAAACCGACTGGAGCATATACCGGGTGTCCCAGGCAGGCTTGGATATAGGAGATTAACATGGGAAATTAGTTTTTATTTTTTTCTGGCTGCAGGAGTAACAGAAATTAAAATCTGGTTAATGGAGCTTGTGGTGCTCGAAAAGGACTATCTTATCGACATTTTTGTCGATTCTCCAATTAACTCCATTTTGGCGAAAACGGCTCTTGAAAAATTGAAATTTGAATTTGCCGGGTTAGCGTTACTAAGAAACGAACTATCAACTCAAATTGTGACAAATTCTCCTTTGGCAACAATGACTTGATAGTTCGTTTCTTAGTAACGCTAACCCGGCAAATTCAAATTTCGAGTTTATTGGAGAATTGACAAAAATATCGATAAGATAGCCGTCTTCAAGCACTACAAACTTCATCAGTCAGATTTTAATTTCTGTTATTCCTACATCCGGAAAAAAATAAAAACTAATTTTCCATGTTAATTTCCTATATCCAAGCCTGCCTGGGACACCCGGTATTAGCAAATGTACAGGTCACCATCTAAATCTGTAGTGCCCAGCAGTATAACCATTTACTCTACAGTCCTAATCTATCTTCTTTCAGTTATATTTTGTTGGAAACTATCTTGAACGGCAGGATTTTTTAAGAATGCAGGAGCCCCCAGTCCAAAATGTAAAAAGCAAATCCATTTATTTAGTAATTTTAGAGAATGCTATCATAATGTGTGGTACAATTTTGTTAAATGCATAAATAAACAATTTAAGTCCATTGTATGTGCTTCTTTATGTCTTGATCATAACCAAAATATTATTATTAAACACATATAACTGATTTTATTGAAAATTTTGGTTATTTGTATTTAAATTGTAACAGGAAAATTAAAATTGAATAATAAAGTATTTAAATTTGCCGCCAATTTTAGTTCAACATACAAACAAGAGACGGCGCCAGGCTTGAAATTTTGACGACCGGAAAATTGTGTGTTACTTGATTTTCTATATTGAGTATATTCTATGGTCCCGGGTCAGCTTAAGTCTTAAAGATTGTCATTAAGGAATTAACTCCTCTCATTTTACCATTCACACCCCAATATTTTTCAATTCATCAAAGTTTTAACAGATTTTCAAAGTGATACCTACATTAGGTATCATTAGAACTGCACAGCAAAATGAAAATAAAAATTACTCTTCAAAAACTTTGCAGAATAAAAAATTTTTGAATGAGAAGTTAGACCAATTAATAGTTGGAAATCATTTTAAAATACAAGGTGATTCTTTTAAGGCCTACATTAGAAACTTTTTAACTTCTAATGCAGATAGGAATTTGAAATTTTGTACACAACCCAAATCAACCAGTCTGAGTTCAACTAAATTATTTTCAAAATGGCTGAACTTCTGGAACTACGAGAAATTGGCGCCAACTTTGAAATTTTAAATGGTACCCACTTATTTTTATTGCATTTTTGAATTCTCCTCTTTAAACTAAGTAAAATGTACCTAGTTGTTAGTACTTAACTATCATAGTTTTTGACATATGTCAATTTTTTGGTCAAAATTTTCACTCTTTCAGTGAAATGGTGTAGAAATACGACGAGATTTGGGCCCGAAGGAATCAGTTTTCACCGGTTAGTCATTCATCATGGTTTGAGGTTATGTTTAAATCGTTTTTGCAGACTTCCAAAAGGTGATTTGATGGCTGTGTGGAAAGCTGTTTTAGGCTTGAATCTTGGATGAAAAGTGGCAGTGGACAGAATTTGTAACAGAAAGAGAACTATAGAACAGACTTGACATTTCAGTGTCACTCAATGCTACCAATACAAAAACTTTCATTTAAAAACCCTGTTTTTATTTTCTTGCCAAAACACGCAAATGGGTGTTTTCAAGACGATTTGAACGATTGGAAAATCACTAATTTTAGACGGAGGCCGAAAAAGGAAGTCAAATTTGAGATGACGGAAATAATGCATGAAATGTACGGTGAAAACGATGCAAAACCAGTGTCGAACATTGGCGGATCAGGTATTGTGAGTTCTACTCGGGGGCGAAGTCCCCGACAATTTCGAATCAGGTAGTGTGAGTACTATTCGGAGACGAAGCTCACAACAATGTCGATATTTGCGGAGCAAATCTACTTGAGGAGCGAAGCCCCCACATTTTTCAAATTAGATAGTATGAGTTCTACACGAGGAGCGAGCGGCTGTCCCAACGACTACTTCCACAAAACATTTGCAAATCCGGGAGGATTTGCCCTATATAGCTAGTTATTTTTTCTTCTTTGCGTTGTACTAAGACCAGTACGCAACGGTTTTACGTATCGTACTGAACAAAAACAGTGCTATAAAAATTATACTAAAAAAAGGAAAAATTTAGTCTTATAATGTTGGCTACCTTACTGTTTCTCTGTCAAACTATCGGTGTCAATGCAAGTCAAATTAATAAAATACAAAATTTTTGCCGTGTTTGGTTTAATTAATTATTGCAAAAAATATTCAGAATTAACCTTATGATCATATTGGTGCTTACGCATACCTTAAGGTCATAGGACAAAGTAAAATAAAAGGTACTTAATGCCAAGATTTATAAAGTAAGAAGGTTACCTCGTAGCTTGTAGTGAGAGACACTAAAGAGCTAGTAAGATGGCTGTGACGTCAGTGGAGTTTTGCTCGATCAGTCGCAGGTTGCAGACTGTCAGATTATGGGGACCAACGTCCTGATTTAGCCAGGGCAGGTTTTTATCGTCTTGTCCTGTTTTACATTTATGTATTGATTTGCCTCGATTTAAGGACCAATACTCCTAAGTGTGCAATTTTTTGAGATTCTCATTTGCAGCGAAAACAAAGTATCTTTTAAGTTAAAGTCTCCTTTTTGTCGTCAATTTTGATTTTGAATTGTCTGAAGTTGGACACCTTATGTCAGATTTTAGATTTGTGTTATTATTGTGTTGCATCTTGCATTATTTACCACATCTTCCTTTATAGATCTTGTATGCTTCTAGTCTTATTCTTAACTTTATTACTCAATATCGCAAAAACTATGCATCGTAGAGTATTTTAACCTGTTGCATCGTGTGAAAAAGAGGCACAACATCATACATCGAGCAAACTGCAGACCGGTTTCGCCCTTTTGGGGCTCATCAGTGCAGTGTAGCTCGATGTGTGATGTGGCCTCGGGAGTCTTAAAGCGACTACGCCGGTGAAGATGGGACAGTGATAGCGCAGAGCGCCACCTGTCGGTGTGTGGGGAATCCAGACCTCTAAACACCGGGGGCTGGGAATTTGCAAAGCAAATCTCCCAAAAAAACGCCCACCGGGAGAGGTAAACCGACATCAGCCAAAACAGCTACTCCTCGGGCAAATACCCCGCCAGGCGCTGAATTACATGACCAATGCCGGCTCCCCCACATCAACTGGACAATTATGCCCAAATCTTGATGTGAAAAAGAGGCACAACATCAAGATTTGGGCATAATTGTCCAGTTGATGTGGGGGAGCCGGCATTGGTCATGTAATTCAGCGCCTGGCGGGGTATTTGCCCGAGGAGTAGCTGTTTTGGCTGATGTCGGTTTACCTCTCCCGGTGGGCGTTTTTTGGGAGATTTGCTTTGCAAATTCCCAGCCCCCGGTGTTTAGAGGTCTGGATTCCCCACACACCGACAGGTGGCGCTCTGCGCTATCACTGTCCCATCTTCACCTGTTGCATCGTGTTCAGCGGGTAATTTTAGAAAGCGTTTTTAAACTCAAAAAAATAGTAAGTTTTTAAACTTGACCCAATAACGTTTGTGCACTTTTTTGAGTCTTCAAGATCACTAGAAATGAAAACGTTATATGGATCAATTTTAAAGTTAACTTTTTTTGATTTTTGTCGAGATTTTGGTCGATTTTTTTACCGAGAGCGGTCTATTTGGAACAACTCCGAACTTCTTGGTGATAACCGCTTATGTTTGGAAAGAAAATTTAATTTTCTATCATAGAGTAAACCAGGGTGATATGGTGAATCGGGTGAAATGGTGACTTACTCTATTTTTTTTTCGGGCAGAGCGATTTCCTTGTAATTCTGTGTGACAGTTGTTTATGATCATTTGTGGAGCGAGCACCTATTTAAAACCAGTCTCGTTTTGAAAAGCCTAAGTAATTTGTACAAAACTATTTCCGATGCTCAATAATTTTTATACGGTGCAGGCGTTTGCAGATGTTGCTTCAGGTAGCCTAGTCCGCGAGGTATTGTTTGATATGTTCTGCCTTTTTAGACTGTTTATACACTATACACTACATAAGTTGACGAGGGCATAGGTGGATACGGTGAACGACTTTTCTTACATGTGTAGCGACATGACAGTTAGTGTTGTGCCGCGCGCTTTCTGAAATTTTGTATTAAAATTTAATTCAATCAAATTAGATGTAAAAACAAATAGAAAAAATAATAACAATTTTTGAAAGGTCGTTGAAGTCAGTTTCTTTCCAAAAGTGAAAAACTCGTCCGAAGTCAGCAAAGAGCTCTAAATTTGGTGATGCGACATACCCACGAACGACGATCCAAGACTGTGGACGACCAAACTGAAAATAAACAATCTTCGACTGCGACTGAAATTAAACAACCTTTGACTGTGAATGAGGTGACCGCCAACGAGCTCAGAAGCATCAAACTGTTTCCTTCCTGGCAAATAAATCCCTCTCTATGGTTTAGGCAAGTAGAAGCTCAATTTTGCATCTGTAGAGTTCGATCCGACGAAACGAAATTTTACACCGTCGTTGCATCTCTCGAAAGCTCAATGCTACAGCAAATTTCGGACATCATCTCTTCGCCACCTGCTTTTAACAAATATGAGACACTGAAATCCCAAGTAATTGTTCGCTTCTCCGACTCCGAAGAAAAACAAATTAAAAAACTCCTTACAGAAATTGAACTAGGAGTTAAACGCCCCTCATAACTCTTACAAGAAATAATATTTATTTATTAACTACAATTATTATTAACTACAATTATTATTAACTACAACATATTTATCAAAAATAAACCAAGTTCCAACCCCTAATTAGAACTAAGAATATTTTGGAATCTCAATTTTCGTTTCCATTAATTTACAGTGGACAAATTTGTTCATGATTTAAGGCGTTATTGACATTGACATTCGAATTTCTGTCGCAGACTGAAGACTGAAGACAGTTTTAAAGCAGACTTCAGTTTATTGACATTTGCAAAATAGCAAATTTTTTA